TTTTTGCTGATTGGGCCGTGTCGGGTGGTGGAGGGTTACGACACATTTATAAATAAACGCGATCTAACCCAACAAAAACCTTTATCATGAATAATATTGGTCGTGAAAGCGGCTAACGCAGTAACATTATTCCTGGCAAAAAGTTTTCTGTTTGGTGTTTTTTTTTTACATCTCAACGCAGTCGTTTTATTGCCAGACAGGGTCAAACGTATTCTTGTATTTTGCTAGTGGCAAGGAAGTTCCCGTGAATCAGCTGCTTTCACCCCGCGCTCTCAATTCCATTGATAGTGGCATTGTCTTTGTGCTGGTCGCCTTTTTGGCGTCCTCTGATCTAGCGCCGTTTGCGACTAGGCTCTAAAAGAAAGCCGTCTCTGGTGACGTGGACCAATCAGTTTCAAAGACAATGCATCATCATCATCATCATACACTACCAGAGCATGTTCACCACAAGCATACGTGGCTAATGCAGCACGTGATTCCTTGCAGCACGCGTCTGTTTGGTGTTTTAACATCTTAACGCAACTGCAGCTGCATTGCCGGAAAGGGTCAAACCCACGCTTTACGTTGAGCAGAGCTCCCGTTACGACCGCAAACCCTTCAAAACTGTGAGGACGAGCGAGCGTCAAAGATTCGGCACGAATGACCTCGTCGTGAGAGAAACCTTACGGATAAAAGATGGCGCCCCACCCCACACCCCCCCCCCCCTTCCCCGGAATCCAAGATGGCCGCCGAAATCAAAGATGTCCGCCACCAAACAAAGCGGTAGGCCACACACACACATTCACACTTTTGTGATTTTTTCACGCTCGCTCTGTACGTTGCTGCTGCTGCACGTGACGGTGCGTCCTGTAGCGACGCGGCGGGGCACGACGCTGGAGGCTGAGGGGCGCTCGCGCGCGCGGTAGCCTCGAGGAGCATCCAGCAGCATCCCAGCGGAGCGCTTCGCCAGGGCAGCCGGACGACCGCTCACACCCCCCCCCCCCCCCCCCCCCCCGTACCCCGCCCGGCATTGGCTCCGTCGGCTCGATCACGTTCACACATCCGATTAGCAAACCCGCGTTCTCGAAACAAGACTGGTTCCGCGATGCGTCCGTCACGTTTGCACGTCGCGATGGAGACTGCGCGTTGCGGGAGAACGGGCCGCGCGCGTGGATTCACAAAGCGCGTTACCCTCCAGCAAACCGGTGGGCTGGAGTTGTAACTAACCGGCGCGTCGTTTTCGTGACAGACCTTGCCGGCTGTTCCGGGTGGTGGAGGGTTACGACGCATTTGTACTTCCGTAATACAGGGTTGTTTTTTATATTCTTAGTTTTTTTCGGTAAAGTCACGTTGAAGAGAAACAACAAAATAACAAAATATATATAAAACAATAAAAAATTCTCACGACGTTTCGACCATAACTCAAACGGTCATCATCAGGTGTGTCGGTAGGGTTGTTTTTGTTTTGTTAGGGGGTTAGATCACGTAAATATGTAAATGTGTCGTTAAAACCCGCCACCACCCGACACAGCCAATGATTAAAGGTTTGTCACGTGAACAGAACGTGGGCAGTTCGTCACTAGTACATCACACCGGTTGTGTGTTGGAGAGCCAAGCCGCAACATTCACAATCTGAGTACGACGTTTAGCCAGCAATTACAACTAGCTTCATCAGGTGACAGCCATATTTGTAAATCTATGCTATAAACTAAACACTACACTACACACTACACTATATACTACACTATACACTATCTACATACTACACTACACTATACACTACACTGTACACTACACTATACACTATCTACACACTACACTACACTATACACTACACTATACACTACACTATACACTATCTACATACTACACTACACTATACACTACACTGTACACTACACTATACACTATCTACACACTACACTACACTATACACTACACTATACACTACACTATACACTATCTACATACTACACTACACTATACACTACACTATACACTACACTATACACTATCTACATACTACACTACACTATACACTACACTATACACTATCTACATACTACACTACACTATACACTACACTGTACACTACACTATACACTATCTACATACTACACTACACTATACACTACACTATACACTACACTATACACTATCTACATACTACACTACACTATACGCTACACTGTACACTACACTATACACTATCAACATACTACACTACACTATACACTACACTATACACTATCTACATACTACACTACACTATACACTACACTATACACTACACTTTACACTATCTACATACTACAATACACTATACACTACACTGTACACTACACTATGCACTATCTACATACTACACTACACTATACACTACACTATACACTATCTACATACTACACTACACTATACACTACACTGTACACTACACTATACACTATCTACATACTACACTACACTATACACTACACTATACACTATCTACATACTACACTACACTATACACTACACTATACACTATCTACATACTACACGACACTATACACTACACTGTACACTACACTATACACTATCTACATACTACACTATACACTACACTATACACTCTCTACATCCTACACTACACTATACACTACACTATACACTATCTACATACTACACTACACTATACGCTACACTGTACACTACACTATACACTATCTACATACTACACTACACTATACACTACACTATACACTATCTACATATTACACTACACTATACACTACACTATACACTGTCTACATACTACACTACACTATACGCTACACTGTACACTACACTATACACTATCTACATACTACACTACACTATACACTACACTATACACTACACTATCTACATACTACACTACACTATACACTACACTATACACTACACTATACACTACACTATACACTATCTACATACTACACTACACTATACACTACACTATACACTATCTACATACTACACTATACACTACACTATACACTACACTATACACTATCTACATACTACACTACACTATACACTACACTATACACTACACTATACACTATCTACATACTACACTACACTATACACTACACTACACTATACACTATCTACATACTACACTACACTATACACTACACTATACACTGTCTACATACTACACTACACTATACGCTACACTGTACACTACACTATACACTATCTACATACTACACTACACTATACACTACACTATACACTACACTATCTACACACTACACTATACACTACACTACACTATCTACATACTACACTACACTATACGCTACACTGTACACTACACTATACACTATCTACACACTACACTATACACTACACTATACACTACACTATACACTATCTACATACTACACTACACTATACACTACACTACACTATACACTATCTACATACTACACTACACTATACACTACACTGTACACTACACTATACACTATCTACATACCACACTACACTATACGCTACACTATACACTACACTACACACTATCTACATACTACACTACACTATACGCTACACTGTACACTACACTACACACTATCTACATACTACGCTACACTATACACGACACTATACATTACAATACACACTAGTGGTGTACTAGTAACGAACTGGTCACGTTCGTATTCTTAGCCCTTTCGGTAAAGTCACGTTGAAGGGAAACAATAAAATAATATAATATATATAAAACAATAAAAATTCTCAAGACGTTTCGACCATAACACAAACGGCCGTCATCAGGTGTGAAAAACCAACGGCAAGAAACACTACACACTCTATACTACACTACACTTTACACTACACAACCTATACTGAGCTTTCGCGACCAATATCATCCACAATAGAGGTTTTTCGCGTATAGTAAATGTTGTGGCTTGGCTCGCCAACACACCGGTAGTGCTGTGCTAGTGACGAATTGGCCACGTTCCGTTTACGTGACAACCCTTACTAGCTGGCTGTGCCGGGTGGTGGCGGGTTTTAACGACACTTTTATATGTTTATGCGATCTCACCGAAAACAGCTCCATTATGGAGAACTTCAGTTGTGTACAGACTCAGCCCATCTACCGGGGGGGGAGGGGGGGAGGGGCTGTAATGGCACAGGCGTCGTGACGTCATCGCACCACGGTAACAGGAAGCCAATCAAATGTGGGCGAGGTCACAATTGGGGAGGGGCGTTCGCGAGGGTGGTGGTGGGGGTTGTAACGGCGTCGTGTATGTTAGTGGAATAATAATAATAATAATAATCGTAGTAGTAGTAGAAGTTAGATTTGCGATGCTACGAGTCTGGCTGATCTCGTTACGAATGTAATGCGGGCGTACGCTGACGGGCGCCGAACGGTGGCTCACGCGGCTTCAGCCTCAAAGCCAATCGGGCGACGGGGAGTATCT